ACATCTGTTATCCTAGCTTCTGTAGTAGAAAAAAGTCCTGAATTAAAATTTCAAACCACCAAAAATAATTGTCTAACTTTCAGCTCCACTTTCAGTTTTTTTTAGGTGGGGAGATGGGAGGGATAGTAAATTGGATATGAGAGTCTCATAATCTTTCCTACTTGGGCTGGTTTTGAACTGCTGTTGTCAGATCTCAGCCTTCTAAGTAGCTAGGATTACAGGCATGAGCCACTACTGCCCAGCTTGCAAAACAAATCATCTTTCATAAGAGTATAAGCCAGCTAGAAATTTTAGTTGTATAATTATCCTAAAATAGTGGGGCTGGAGAATGATTAAATAAGACAATTTTATAGATTTTGTGTCTTGTGCATCATTAGCATATGTAAATATGCTAACACAAAATAGAACCTATAAATAGGGCCAGTCACTGAAAGAAAATATTGTACAACATCAGGAATCACAATGAGAAACATGTGTCTGTTCTATATTCATGTTTCTTGAAAATTCGACTCACTGATACAAAGACTCTCATTGTATTTCTTCTGAGCTTTATTCAGAGTAGTCAGTAGTATCAGAGTAGTCAGATTTCTTGACTGACAGTATTTGCAACACATTTTAACATATTTTACTTTTATTGACAAGTATTAGTTATACATATTTATGGTTTTCACTGTGGTATTTTAATATATATGTATATATGTTACATATAAAATTTAGCTCACTCTGTGTTATACTTGGCCATGTAGGTTCATCAACATATGAACTTGTCATTTGTCACACCTAGGAGGGATCTGAGAAGTTGTCCACTTTTATCTTTATAGTTAAATAAAGGGAAACCTATTTCTTTCCTTTATCCCATCATAATATTCCCTTACTTAGACATGTAGTCCTGAAAGTTAGCCTCCCACAAAATTACCATGTGACTTCTGTGTATTCAGGTCATTTGTTCCTTGTATTTCAAAATGAACGTATATGTTGTATTCTGGAAAATATCCCAGCATGCCTCACTCAGAGTCCCAGAGCTGACACTTAATGGAAATGGTTCTTTTTTTCATTCTTACTGTTTTCATGTACGATGTGCTGAACAAGGCTACAGTCTGCAGAAGCCCAGAGGGAAGCCATCTCAGAGATCCATAGTTCATTTCCTAGGCCCAATGGCAACACATAAGCAGAGCCACTGAAGTACAATTATTTCCTTCACACCTACGTCATTAGTCAAGACAACAAAGCACAGTGTAAATAGCAACAAGATTCTTCTTTGTCAAGAATTCCCAAAGCTCTGTCTGTTCACTGGGATACTCAGGCCTCAGGATCCAAATAATTCATCACTAGAGATTACCTGTCATGTTCCTCAGTTCTACCTTAAAGCTTCCTTTGAAATCAGACCCCATCCTGTCAAAAGACAATGCTAGTAGGTAGGTTCAGAATGTTGCAATTTAAGCCTTTCAGGATTCATATTTTAGTTTCAACTCCAACATACAGATCAATTACTATAGAGAGAATCAGCCTCTGTGGCAAGCCACCAGCAAACCAGGAACTGAATTTGTTTACGATGAAGACCTACCTAGCTTAGGGAATGAGTACTAGCTCCCTAAAGAAATATCTACCTGAACTCCAGAATGTGATTTCTGTAAAATAAAAGTCTTCGTGGACATAATTAAGAATCTTGAAACGAGGAGATTTGGCAGAGAGAGACACAGGGGAAAACCATGTGAAAGCAGAGATCCAACTGGAGAAATGTACCTCCAAGCCCAGGAACACCATGCATTTCCACCTGCCGCTGTGAGTTAGGACACAATCATAGGATGGATTCTTCCTCAGAACTGCCACAGGAGCCATCCATCAAACACCTTATTTTGGTCTCTGGCCTTCTGTGAGAGAATAACTATCTGCAAGGTTTTTGCTTTGTTTTGTGCCAGTTCTAGGGCTTGAACACAAGATCAGGACACTTTCCCTGAGCTTTTGTGTTCAAGACTAGCGCACTATCATTTGAACCACAGCTCCACTTCTGGCTTTTTGGTGGTTAATTGAAGATAACAGTTTCACTTTCCTGCCCAGGCTGGCTTTGAATCACAATCCTCAGATCTCTGCCTCCTGAGTACTTAGGATTAGAGGTGTCAGGCATACCATCTGAGGTTTTTAAGTCACCAAATTTGCGATGGCAGATCTAGAAAACTAAAATATCCTTCAGCCAGTCCTCAAGGGCTATTTAAAAAACATTCTGGGAAGGGAGAAGGTATCAGCTTCTATGTTGGTATCTGTTTAATTGATTTCATGGTGCAAATAAGAGCTAATAAATATCTCTGAGGTCAATGTGATTACCCTACAACATGAACATATGCTCTTATACAATTGTCTCCTCTTCATGGTACACCCAGTTCAAACAGGTAAGTGTCATTAACCCTACTTTAACAAGTTCTTGTCTGATGTTGTCAAAACAAGACTCCTAATGTGAGCATGGTGTGGGGTGAGTAGCTGGGTCGGCAGTGGTACTAAAGGAACTGGAAAGCAGAAGCTGCCCAATGTATATGGGACATATTTCCCCAAATAATGCCAGAAGTATATGAGATTAATCCCACACTTATCCTGGAATGTCTCCCGCTTTTGCCACCATCTGAGAAATTGTATTGCCTTTAACACTTTCCCAGGTAGTACTGCACCCACTCTTACAATAGATACGACTTGGCTGAAATTCATGAGGAAGATTTTAGAGATTTAAATACACAGTAGTACCAAAACATTGAATAAAACTCTACTTAGAACATGCTAAGTGATAGCTCCATTCTACCCTTCTATGGCCAGGCCTTACCTAGAAAGATTGCATGGTTTTTAGAGACCACAGTTTTCAAAAGCAGCAACTCTTGAATATCGGCGGGAGTTTTTTGTTTCATTCGTTAATTATGTAACTTATTTATTTATTTGTGCCAGTCCTGTGTCTTGAACTCAGGGCCTAGATACTATTCTTGAGCTTCTTTTGCTCAAGACTTCTGACTTTTTTTGGAGGGGGGGTTAATTAATTGGAGATAAGAGTTTCATGGACTTTCTGCTAGGTAGGGCTGGCTTCAACCCCTACAATACTCAGATCACAGACTCCTGAGTTGCTAGGATTATAGGTGTGAGCCACTGGTGCCTGGTTTACCTAAAACTTTTAATCTGAAGGAAACTTAACCATGATGAAATGACTGCCACCAAACGAAGGGACATCATATGAAAGAGGATTAGATTTCCCTCACATGTAATGATTACATTGCAGCTTCTTATTAGACAAACGTTTTGGAGAGGCAGAGCGGTGCAAAGATAAGACCACTCTGGAAGCCTGCAAGCCTAGGTGGGCGAGTGTTTTGGAAGAGTTCTATAGGCATGCAACTTCTTTTTGAATTCTGGTATCAATCAAATCTGTGGGTGTTTCTACTGCATAATTCAGATATCTTCATGTCTTTAAAATCTGAAGCTGTGAATTTTGAATCTGCAAAATGTGAATGACTTCTGTGGAAATAAGCTCAAATATCATTTTTTGTATACACTTTTCTACGAAAGGTCATAAGAAGAAGAGAGTTAGGCCATTGTGTGAGGGAATGAAGGGACTGTTGTGCCACAGGCCCACAAGGGACTGCCTCAGAAATTAATGATATAATATAATTAGCTGTATCTATCCTTCTAACTTGAATATAATTTTGAATAAGTTTGAATGATGATTAACAATTATACAAAAGGGAAAAGAGCACAATACAGGAGCAAGGTATCCCTATTGTCCCTGGTAAGCAAGAATAAGGTATCTATTCTATACCTAAGAAAATGTGGTGCTTAACCAGGGCTGCTCAGAGAAACAGCACCAATGGGTGTGTATGTGGAAGAAAGGGGAATGGGTATTTCAAGGAACTGGCTCATAGGATTATAGATGCCAGAGAATCCAATTCTATAGTGCATGCTGGCTAGAGGTGCAGGGAAGAGCCAATGTAACAGTTGAAGTCTCAAGGCTGAGAATTCTCTCCTTCTGGGGGAGGTCAAAGTCAAACTTAATTCTATTAAGGGTCAACTGATTGAGTGAATCCTACCCACACACACACACAAAATGAAATCTGGTTTATGCAAAGATTATTTATTTGAAAATATTTTATACCTGGGGAAGCATCCAGAATAATATTTGACCAAATAAATGTCTGAGCACCATGACTTAGGCAAGTGAACATATAAAGTTAGCCATAAGCTAGGTATAGTGGCACCCATATAGTACCAGCCGCTTCATTTCTTAAGAGTTGGAAGCAGGAAGATTACATAAGCCCCAGAATTTGAGGTCAGTCTGGGCAACATAGTGAGAGCTTATCTCAAAAGATAAAGAGGAGGAAGAGAACAAATTTAACTACCAAACCAGGAGATGGGTCCTCAAATTGGACCCACATGCAAAGTATAAAGAGGTGAAGGATAGAGCTAGCTAATAAAGGTGGTCACTACAATATTGTTTCTACTTTGTGAAAGGCATCTAACCCAAATCCTTTTAAACTCTCTGCTGGATACAAGTTTTGAAGTTGGATGATACTAGTTGAATGAATTATTGGGATGTTATCCACCTAGCTATCTATTATACACATCTCATATATGTGTACGTATATACATATATATATATATAATTGTATTCAGATTGTAAATACTTCTCCATTTTTGTCAAATGAAGACATAGTAATGCTATTCTTCCAAGACACCTATGGATTTAAAGAAAGAACCTCAAAGAAAAATAAACTAAAAACTAAAGTTTCTCAAATAGTGCTGGAGGAAAAAGGGGAACAGGGCAAATGGAATAGTCCTTTTTGTCTTAAAATCAACCTCTTTCCAAAAAAGTTAAGAGAGAAAAGGAGAATATTTTTTATTTTTAATCATTAACTTTGATTACAATAGCAGAAGAATGGTATCAAAAATGTTAATATATCAAACTTTTCAGCAAAAAAAAAACCCACAGAGCTTTAGTTAGGCATAATGATTTCTTTGTGATTTAAAGGCAAGGGTCTGTCCTAGGCACTGTTACATACATTATTTCATTTAAATAAGTTACCATGGGAATTTTATCATTACAATTTCATTATGTGTTCAGTCTTTATTTGGAACGTGATGTGTTTTTCCAAGGCTGTAAGTTTCTATTTCTAACATTGGTTTGTCAGGCTCATCAGGGATACAGATATTAAATAACAATTGTAAATAGCAATTCAGTTTCTCAAACCAAACCAACTTCAATTTAAAGTGTATGAAAGGTATGTAAAACAGTAGTCCGCTGAGAATAAAGTCACATAGGCATAATGCATCTTTGGAGTTTTTATCAGTGATATCAGAACCAAGCACTGGCAGATGGCTATTGTTATAAATACAAATGGTGAAGAGACCTAGGGGAAAAAGAAAAAAAATTAAAATATGATAAATATGAAAATCCACATACAAGAGATGCATATTACATAAATAAAAATAAGAATATAATAGTAGAAACCAAGCTAAATTAGCCTAATGAGGTTAGATAAACCTGGCTTATAACACACATAAATGAGAAGAAGGAATTGCCAGACTCCCATCGTCAGAGTTTTCCATTCGACTTTTTGTGAATGGAAATGACCATGACATTTAAATGGTACAATATCATCTTCTGACCTAGAAAGCAGAAATATGTTTAGAAGGAGTTTCAAAGTCTTGGTAAAAGTCATACAGTCTTCCCTAGAAAATACATCAAGTCAGTAATAAATTTAAGACAAAAAAGACAAAGACTTTCTTCATGTGTCTTGGCCATTCTTCTATTGAGATCCCACCTTACTCCAGTTAGAATGACCACTACCAAGAAAACTTAAAATAACAAATGCCAGTCTGGATGTGGCCAAAAGAGAACTCTACTTCACTGGAGGGAATGTAAACTTTTTCAACCACTCTGGAAAGCAGTATGGAGATTCCTCAAAAGACTAAATATAGAGCTTCTCTATGACCTAGCAATTCCATTCCTGGGCATTTATCCAATAGAACACAAACAAGACCCAACCATTTTCATTGAAGCACTGTTTACTATAGCCAATATATAGATTCAGCCCAGATCCTCCTCACTGGACAAAAGGATCAAGAAAATGTAATATGCATACAAATGGAATTCTATTCATCTATCAGAAAGAATAATATTGTGCCATTTGTAAAGAAATAGAAAGACTTGGAAAAAATTATATTAATCCAAGTAAGCCAAACCCAGAGAAACATGATTTGCATGATTTCCCACTTTTGTGGTAGCTACAATTCTATACCTATAAATCTACAAGTAAACACACTGGATGGTAAAAAAAAGAAAAAAATACACTGGGACATGATAAAGTATACAGGTCTCTAGGTGTTCATACACAGAGAGACCAAAGGAGAATACTTGTAGGATAGGAGCACAAGGCACCAGTACCTCTGTGTATCTGATCATATAAAATAATATTTATCAAAATGAACTCCAGGAAATGGAAATAAGAGGTAATTTCTTTTTGTTTCTTTTCCTTTTGTCTTGTTTGTTCATTTATCTATCTGCGGGAGGGTGGTGGGGGCACAGAAATGATAGGCAAAGGGTGAACAAACACAGAAGTGATACTCACTAGACACTATGTTGAAAATGAACTATACAACTGTAGGCAGGAATGGGAAGGAAAAACTAGGAGAGAGATAGGGAAGGGGTGACATTGTCCAACAAGAAATGTAGTCTTTATCTAACTGTAACCCCTCTGTACATCACCTTTACAATAAGAACAAAAAAAATGCAAAGACTATTTTAAGATCCTCTGTTGCTCAGGTAAATATCCAAAGAATAGGATGAATTTATAGGCTTAGTATATTAAGATTATTAATATACTATATATATTAATGGTTTAATATATTTAGTATAAAAATACTAAAAATGGCTAGAGCAATTCTTTCTATAGTTTTGTTTTTGCTTTGCCAACACTGTTAAGGATCCATCCCTAATATCGTGTTAGTGTTAGAATTATGAGAGTACTGTCCCTAGCATTATTCAACATAGAGAGAAAATTCAATAGGTTATCTCTTTTTTTTCCATTTTTTTGAACAAGGCTTTTTTATATAGCCCAGAATGGCCTTGAACTCCTGATCCTTCTGCTTCAGCCTTCTGAATACTGCCATTACAAGTGGGCCACTATATGTGGTGGTAGCAATTCACTTTTGAGGTGTCTTTAAAGAGACATGACAGCCTATCATCTCACAGCTCAGTATTAGTTATCAAAAAATTGAGAGAAGAGAACCAGCACTCATAAAGGCAGACAAGAAAATCTGAATTACTTGTATTTAAGATTGTCTTTGAAGGGCATGGTGGTATGCCTGTAATCCGAGCACTTGGTAGAGGCAGGAGAATCTTGGGATTAAGGCCAGCCTAAACTACACAATGATTTCCCACAGGCTGACACTACACAGGGATACTGTTTCAAAAACACAAAAACAAAAACAAAAAACAACTAAGGGGGGGGGCGGTGGCTCATACCCATAATCCTAGCTACTCAGGAGGCTGAGATCTGACAATCATGGTTCACAGCCAGCCCAGACGAAAAACCCATGAGAGTCTTATCTCCAATTAACCAACAGGAAACCAGAAGTGGCTCTGTGGCTCGAAGAGCCACTTGAAGTGAAGAGCTCAGGGACAGCACCCTGGCCTAGAGTTCAGGCCCCATAATTTGAAACAAACAAACAAGAAAAAAAAAAACTAACTTCCAGCCACTAGTAGCCCACGCCTATAATCAGCTACGCAGAAGGCTGAGCTCTGAAGACTGAGTTTCAAAGCCAACCCAGGCAGGAAAGTCCATGAGATTCTTAGCTCCAAGTAACCATCAAAACATCAGAATTAGAGCTGTGGTTTAGGTGGTAGAGCACTGGCTCTGAGCAAAAGAAAGCTCAGGGACAGTGCCCATGTCCTGAGTTCAAGCCCCAAGACTAGCACACACACACACCACACACACACACACACACACACACACACACACCATGTAACTGAAGACATTTTCTTGCTTTCTTTTTGATGTGAATATAAGTCAAATAATAATATGATCATATAAACAATGATAGCCATTAGTGTCACACTGTGGATTTTTCTCAGCTTATTTAATCCATCCATCACTCCTAGGAGGGGGGTATATTATGCATTACCATTGTAGATGTGAAAAACAGTAGATTGTGATGGAGTTAGAAAATAGGCTGAGGATTTAGACTTGAAACCAGGCTCTTAATATTCATCATATATTATTCTTTAGTGTATTACAAACCCATTATTGGTTCATAACTTCTCTCAAACTATCTAATTAGGGTCAGGGGTCTAACAAAATGTGGGTCAGAAAGCAAAAATGAAGGAAAAGATTAAAAGTTGCTGGAAGTGAAACTATGAAGAGATTAGACTTTGGGAAGTCCCCAAGGAGGATTCCTCTAGATGGCATCCCCCATCTTGGGGATATCTGAGCAACCTGGGGATAACACTGTGCATCAATTCACAATGTTTGGTTTTCTAGTCACTTGACTGTCCACATAGATTATAACCAGCCTAAAGGCAAGAGCCAAGTCTTACTGAAATCTAGTCACTTCTTTAAAATGAGTATTCAAACATGCAACTGTTAAGTGATAGATGTGTGGAAAAGGTAGAAGGAAAAGCTGATTGCAAATCAAGCAAAGCTGGTGATGAGAATATTACTTTCTTTCTGCATTCATATATTTTGTACTTTGTAATTGTCAAACACTCCAAAGATACTGCCAGGATTTCAGTCTTGTCTGCATTCTCTGCTTTGTGAGCTTGGGGAAGTAACTTAACTCCTCTAAACCAGTTTCCTCTTCTGTAAGTGAGCCTAACAGGAATATACACCATTTGTGTTATTGAGAGAACAAAGGGTGATCATCCAAACAAAGCTTTAAGCCCGAGGTTAGTGGCTCACACCTGTCAACCTAGCTATTTAGGAGACAGATCTGAGGATCACGGTTGAAGCTAGCCCAGGCAGGAAAGTCCATGAGGCTCCTTTTTTTAATTAACCAGCAAAAAAGCTGGACATAGAGCTGTGGCTCAAGTGGTAGCAAAAAGCTCAGGGGCAGTGCCCAGACCCTGAGTTCAAGCTGCATGACTGACAAAAAAAAAAAAAAAAAAAGCTTCAAACATGCTACTGAACCAAGCAAGAGACTTTCATTTTCAGTTAGGTCATCTTTCTCTGATTATATTCTTACACTCAAGCTTTTGTTTCCTCCAATGCCTACCCTTCAAGGACTCTCTCCTGTCCTATGAAGTTTTTTTCTCATTTAGACTGGAAAATAAATTTAGAGGTAGTGAATTTGACGAGATGGAATTTGACAATGATCAGAAGAAGCTGGCATTTCAGAACAGTAGATATTGTCATTTGTGACCTCCTGTTGTCTCTTCTATTTCCCATTCACCAAATTTGATCCTGACTATATCAAATACTATTATGTATTAGTATTCCCTAATTAATAATCCCCATAATCTCTGGTCAAAAGTCTCATAATGACCTGTCCCACTTCACAGACAACTATCATTCTCTTTTTTTTGGGGGGGCGGTCTGGTCGTGGGGTCTGAACTCTGGGCCTGGGCGCTGTCCCTCAGCTCTTCAGCTCAAGGCTAGCGCTCTACCACTTGAGCCACAGCACCACTT